GTGTAAAATATGTTGGGTGTTATTTTCATCTGATAGAAAACGTGCAAATGGATACCTGCTGTATTATGAAAGCCCATCTTGCTGTTAATTACATATTATAATCTGTTGCCTTCTGGCATAGCCTTGTTTTCTCTGTGTGATGTGTTATTGTGGGCATGTAAGCCTCATATAAAGGAGAGGAGAAGATAAATAAATAGAAATCAACTGCTACATTATGTATTTTTGTATGCTTCCCCCACCTCCGGCGGTGATGTCTTTGTGAGACCCACACAACAAAAGAAATGAAATAAAATAACAAAATCTCCTCCTTTGGGTTAAAACGATTGACTGCGGATTCCTAGAGGGTCAACCAGGAAGGACAAAATTCATTTCCTCGCTCAGCTTACAAGGGGCTCCAGTCTTTTCTGGGCGGAGGATTGTGCAGGGCAGGAGGAAGAGTCAGAGTCTCCCTCCCTCCAGGATCGGGGCAGGTGAGCCTCCTCTGGAGATCGCCCCACCCCAGCCCCCCCCAAAAAAACCCTCACCTCCTCCTCCTCCAGAACCACCTCCTTTCCAGGTTGTGCAGCCAAACCCTCCCCATGGATTCACTTCCTTTGAACTGGGGTGGTTGGAAAACCAGTTTCTCATCTGCACTGGTGAGAGGAAAGCTCTGCAGATTGGGGGGGGGGGGAGAGTAAGGAAAGTCTTGTGGATTTGATTTGAATCCAGTTGATTTAAAATTACCACTTTGACCCCTAGTGAACAACACTCAACTTAAACCACAAGTTTCCCCGTACAAAGACGCTTGCTTGCTGCTTGTTCTGACCTTAAATGTTTACAACCCAGCCCAAAGTTTCATTTTTTTCCCTATAACAACTTTCGAGGTTAGTTTTACAGTTATGCCAGAAAAGCAGGGACTGTTTGTTTATCTATCGTTTGAAATAGATAATGATGAAATCCGTATCTGGTTTAATGGGTTGATCATTCTTGTTTGCTGTGCTTTATTAGTGGGAAAAAAGTAATAGTTAACAGTAGTATCAACCATTTAAATTGTTTTGTTTGACTAAAAGTATAACATAATATGCTTTATGTAGCCTTTCAGTGAGTTGGCTGAACTGCTCAGTAGCTTAGAGCTTTGGCTGTAGATCTAGAGGTTCAGAGTTTGATCCCCGCAGTGTCTTCTGCAATAAGAGCCAGCCTGTGGACAAGCTGCATAGTCTCAGCGTTCGCCCACAAGAAGGAAATGGTAAGCCACTTCTGAGTACCTTTCTGCTTAGAAAGTGCTGAAATGGTTCACTTTATGTCAGAATTTATATGATGGCACATGATTATTGGTGTTGCCTTTGCTGCTGCTTCAATGTCTATTTGCAACTGAAGAACAGGATTGAGTTCACTTTCTTAATTCTGTATATCTTTGGAAAAAAACATTTTTACTTTTAAGAAGAAGCTTGTTATTCCCGCAGAATGAATGCCCAGGTTTCCTTGGTGGCTTAGGAGTGCATTTGACACAGAATTGGACTCAAGTAAAACAAATAAACAGAATGTGGTGGCGCTGTGGGTTAAACCCACAGAAGCCTCTATGCTGCAGGGTCAGAAGACCAGCAGTTGTAAGATTGAATCCACGCACAGAGTGAGCCCCCGTCACTTGTCCCAGCTCCTGCAAGCTAGCAGTTCAGAAGCATAGAAAAATGTGAGTAGATAAATAGGTGCCACCTTGGTGGGACAGTAACAGCATTCCGTGTCTAGTCGCACTAGTCACGTGACCAAGGAAACTATCTATGGACAAGCGCTGGCTCTACAGCTTGGAGAAGGCTTGCATATTGGTGCGCCACCTCCCCATGAGCTAGGTATTCGGTTTACAGATTTTGTCTGCTTCTGCTACTCAGAGAAAGAGGTCCAGTCAGATCCGTTCCTGTGGCTCTTTTGGAGGAAATGGATATTCCAGACCCTGTCGGTGCTGAAGGTGATAAAAAGCCCAATGACATGGAGGTTTGGAGCAAAGAGGAACTCCTGGAAAGAACAGCACAGACCAACCTCCACGGCGAATTCCTCAGCCCAGAGGTTCAGCGCCAACATTTCCGAGACTTCTGCTACCAGGAGGATGAAGGTCCCCGGGCAGTTTGCAGCCAACTCCATCGTCTCTGCCGCCAGTGGCTGAAGCCAGAAAAACACACCAAGGCGGAGATCCTGGACCTGGTGATCCTTGAACAGTTCCTGAAGGTCCTTCCAGCAAAGATGGGGATGTGGGTCAGAGAATGTAGGCCGGAATCCACTTCCCAGGCCGTGTCCCTGGCGGAAGGTTTCTTCCTGAGTCAGAGAGCGTATAAGAAGCAAGCAGAGCAGCTGGTGAGGGTTCTGGTTTTCCTTAAAAGTTCAGAAACGGTCTCACAAAAGCATGCGATCATAGGGTCCCTTCCAGTTCTGCACCTTTAAAAAGATGATGATTACTATTATTTTTTTAATTTTTAATTTTCATTCTTATGTCCGTTGCCCTTATACTGTTTCTGAATGCAGGAGTTTTCAGAATTCTTCTTTGGCTTTCCCCAGGCACCAGAAGCTCCGTCAGACCCAACAAGGAGGCATCTGTGCCTGAAGAATACAAAGGAAAAGAGTGGAGGATCTGCCCTGCCAGGTAAAAAGTTTATCTGCATCATCTTCGATTCATTTTCTTAATATTTTTCCCCCAGGTTAATGAGTTGAGTTTCGGATCCTCTGCACTCACACAGATGTGTCAACTTTTGTTAATAAAATAGCAGGAACGGCTCTTCCTGGACAGTTAAAGAATAAATTGTTTATGAAGAATAATGATCTT